CTTGCTTCCCCAGTGTTGAAGAATAACACCAAAGAAGAACGCCGAGGCAAGGTCAGAGTAGAAATTAGAAGTTTATTAAAGGACAGCGGAAAAGACTTCTCCTGGAGGAAGAAGGGGACCCAAAAGGTGGAATCCATGGAAGTGCGGTTGTTTCCCCTTTTTATAGTTTTGGTGATGGAATGTAGGTGGGAAGGCCCGAGGGGTGGGACCCAGCTGGGCCAAAGAAGTAGTCTGAGCAGGAAGGACTTCATTACCACTTCTTTGTGATGGGCTATCTTCAAATCTGCTGGGGGCTATTCATTAATGCTTCTTCCAAGTGGACTTTGGCCTAGGGCCTCTTTGGGACTTCATTAACATTCCATGAGTTGTCCTGTGTTTTCCCTGAGTCATTCCCAGCATGGCCTCCATTTTAGATTTCACTCGGTATTAGACCCGATTTACCTAACTACACTGACTACCTAACTTTAAATCTGGCTTCAATAGGTTTGGTACCCAGTGTACAGAAGGGAAGAAAGAAAAGCTGGTTGGTTGGGAGGGTGCTCAAAAAGCGAGATGAGGGAGAGTCCAGAGTCCATGGAAACAAGAAACTAGAGAGTGTTAGATGAAGAGGAATCTAAGTACTCTTCACTCCTCAGACTTCCTGCTGATGCTGGGTTGGATAGAAACACAGCTATTTTATTTGCACATTCAAGGAAAAGGTGTCTCAGGATGACAAGAGTTCTTGAAGAAGTTCAGATGATAGATATTTGGATTACTAAGAATTGCTTAGAATTTTAATAGGTATTTGTAAGTAAATATGCTTAATGAATTGGGTGTTGTAAAGAATGATAAATAAAATCAGGACATTACAATGTGGTCCTAAAATGCATGAGTATATAGGTTTAGTGTTATCAGCATCACACAGATTTCTTTTTCTTCCAAAAAAAAAGAAAGGAACTTTTTTTTGCCTTTGATTATTTTATTTTATTTTATTTTAGACACATATTTTAAAATATTAGAATTCAGAAGAGGTGACCAGAAAGGATCAATTTAATCAAATAGCAAGCACAATGGAATTTGCATTCTTTTCTCAAGAATACCCATCATTTGGATACTGGAAATACAGCATCCAAACAAAAGACAAAGATCCACTGTTCTTTTACATTTGTATGTTAGGATAAGTTTGGGCACAACTCCCAAGTAACAATTGTTTAATTAGTGTAGTGGTTGATTTTTATTTCATGGAAATGAAGGCAGGGCTAATCAGCCAGATTCTTGGATGGTGCTCCCACAGTCACTGGAGAGTCAGTTTCTTTATTTCTTCTTGCCTCATCAGCAATGCATGTCCCTTCCTCTGTGATCCAAGATGGCTGCTTCCCAGCCAGCTGCCATATTCTCATTTGAGAGTGTGCGAAGCACAAATGTTTTGAAAAGAGGAATAAATGTCCACTTAAGAAATATCTTGGAGGGTTTTTTTGTTTTGTTTTATTTATTTATTTTTTTTGTACTTTTGACTTATGCTTACATTCCATTTGACAGAATGTACGCTGGGAAATGTTGCTTTATCTGGGCAGCCTTGTGCCCAGTTTAGAAATCAGGGGTTGGGGAAAAACCTATAATTTCTGTCACCAATTTCCATATAGCCTTAACTCTGGAGCTATATACCTGAGTAGAGATAGCATTGAAAAGGAACAATCAAATGGCAGGCATAACTGACAGATCTTTAGAAACTGGATACCTTTCACTGAGTGATTTTAAAATAGTCACCAACAGATGTTAATTATCATTTTGTTTTGGACAGGACAGGAGAGGGAAGGGCAGTGAGGGAGAGGGAGAAGAAGGAGAAAGAAGGTAAGAGTTTTTGGTGACTTCTCTATTAAGGAATATTTAAAGAGCAAGGCATACTTTCTCTAAAATATTGATTTTTCATTTTAAGTTAGAGCCAAATATCAATATAGGTAAAATTGGTAGTTCCCAGAACTGATGAGAATTCACAGAGCTTAACAAAATGAATGCATGGCTTGATCTTACTCCAACATATTTACAAGGAAAAGAGAGTATTGATCAACTCACTTTAGGACACCATCTGTAAATTACTATTGTTTGAAATAGCCTTATTGCCAACAAGTTTGTGTGTGCTGTATTTTGTTCATTATAGGGGAATTCAGACTTTGTATTATTTTGTTTATTGTAAGGGAATTTCTCAAAACTTTGCTGGTTTTGAGAAATAGTCTAATATTGGGGTGTCAGGAGGATATGTTTTAATATGTAATGTATGTGTTCTGAGTTCTTATCTTAGTGTGGAATCATATAGTTCAATCTATAAAAGTACAATATCTTTGCCTCAGTTATGCTCTTAGGAATATTAAAAGTATTATTATATATTACTTTTTTTAATGACAAAGGAAGAGAATGTCATGATAAAATGTCATCTTATAGTTTTTCCTTGATTACCAAAAGATAATCAAGAAAACAGAAATGGTTTCTGGGGTATCTTCATCTTTGTTCTTCCTCTGAGTCACTTTAAATCCAGGTTTTATTATTTAGAATCACAATTCACAAAAAAATAACCTGCAGATACAGCAGTGTCTAAAAGTATTCATGTTTTAATTGCTTTATATATAACATTTAGTAATTACTAAGTTGACATCCTTCATTTATTTAAATTTATCCAGCTCTAATGAAAGCTGCCCACATAATTTTCTATTGTGGGTGACAATTGTGCAGTTCTATCATAACTCCACTTGCTTTGGAATAGCCTCAAAGAAACCAAGACAAGGCTCTATATATTTTAAAACTGCAGACTATAGATACTGTTTCTGTATCTATTTCAAAGTATTAAAAATTAGAAAAAAAGAATATGATTTCCCTTATTAAGTTAAATTCTGGAGGAAAGAATTAACAGAAAATCTATAATAATGGTTATAAGTGGTAGTGTCTATGGATATTTTCCTCTTTATTTAGTTGGTTTTACAGAATAGTAAAAGTTAGGTTCAGATAATAAATTCTAGGTATCTAAGTACTTAAAAGAATAGTTCAGGAAAATGCAAAACAAGAGTTCAACATCTCATAGCTCTTTTTCAGACACAGAGAATGCAATTTAAAGGAATCAGTTAACATTTGACTCAAGTTCAAAATACATTAGTAATAATATTTTATAGTTCATTCATGAAATTTATATAATTAGTAGCACAAGTGCCAAATGAATGCTAACGGTACGAATATGTGAAAATTGTGAGTTTTTGTGGTCAGAAAGATTGAGGAAGCCATGAAAAAAAAAGGGACTTTCTGTTGGATTGTGTTGAACAGATAAACCAGATACAGGCTAATAGAGAAGGTAGAGAGGAGCATTTCTGGAGGACTTGATAAAGGAGCAAGAGCTTGTTGGTGGGAGTTAGTAAGATGTATTCTGATGTCATGAAAAATAGAGCATTCATCTCAGGGAGTGGTGAGAATGGGAGGGATTAATTTGGTTGGTATGTGATAGATTTTAAACTTGATCCATTAGCCATCTATTTGATCTAGAAATATAACAACAGTGGAGTTTGAGAGGATTAAACCTCAAGTCCTACATGAGATGGTAATAGGCTACATAAGCAGACTGAAAGAACACAGTGTCTTTCAAGCTTGCTAAAGTTTGAAAACTTCACCTGGGCCAACTGTCAAACATGTAGTGCCTGGAATAGCATCTGGAACACAGTAAGTACTCAAGAAATGTGTGTTGAATTGAATTTTTTGCCCATCATGAGTCTGTCCAAGTCCATGTGTTATTTGTTCATAGTTTATAAACAATCATCATCACAGACATGATATTTTAATAGGAAAGGCCAGAAGACTACTAAATCTGTTAAGATTGAAAGACAGATGAGACAGATGAGATTCAAAGCTATAGAAGGGGTTGGGGTTGTGGCTCAGTGGTAGAGTGCTTGCCTAGCATGCCTGATGCCCTGGGTTTGATCCTCAGCACCACATAAAAAAAAATAAAATATATTGTGTCCACCTATAACTAAAAAAATAAATATTAAAAAAAGCTATAGAGATTAATTCATCCATCCATTCATCCATTCATTCACTCCTACTGAATATCTACCATGTGCTACCTGTGAGTACCAGAGTGCAAAGGTAAATAAGACATGAGGTCTCTGACCTCATGGAACTTACATTTTTATAGATAGAAGATAAATATCTTCTATCCCTCTCTAGAATAGAACTTCAAAAACCCATGGAGCTTTTTAGGAGTATTCTTGTTATGATAATGAGGTGTCTAATGGAGGGCCAGGAGATAGCTTTAGGATGGGGACTAGTGACAAGAGATCCTACCAGGTGATGAAGGGATTGGAACTCTGGGTCAGTCCAGTCTTCAGGGAAAGATGGGGAGTGGGAAATTGGTTTCAGTCGTGCAGTCAATGACTTAATTAATTTTGCTTATATAATGAAAGTCTAATAAAAACTCTGTACATTAAGGCTTGGTGGAAGACAGTGGACACAGTGATACACAAGGTAATGGCCCCCGATTCCACGCGGGAAGGGTATGAACGCCCTATATTCTCTCATGGGCCTCACCTCTCTGTGTGTCCTTTATAATAAAATTATCATCACAGGCATAGGACTTTCCTGAATTCTGGAGTTCTGGTAAATTATGGGAACCAACAGGGGTGTGGAGATCCTTGACTTTACGGGCAGTTGTTCCGTTGTGAAGGTGGTTTGGGGGATCCCCAAGTATGACTGTCATCTGAAGTAAATGCAGTCAGTGTAAAAATACGAGTCCTTAACATGTTGGGGGCTGTGATAATTACAGGTAATTAGAAACAGAACTGAGTTGGATTGCAGTATACTCAGTCGAGGCTAGAAATATATTGTATATACATATGATGCTCTTAAGTGGTAGGTGTGATATATTTTAAAAATAGGTTTTGAATGATAGAGTTGAGGTTTAGTGATTTTGGTAGAAGCTGACTTGATTCCCTCTTAAAAATATTATTAAAAGACCAATTAGTACACCTTTTGTTATTCATCCTTAGGGTTGCTTTAAAGAGAGAAGAAGAGGAATAGCATGTTTGGTGAAAGGAGACCCTCATCACTATACAAAATACATGTATGGAGATGTGGGAAAAAAATAAAGAGAGAAGAGGAGAAGAGAAAAGAGAAGGCTGGTAATATTTGGATGGATAGAGATGAACGGTAAGAAAAAAAATAGATCTGAATCTCAGTTTATATTCTACGGCTATTTTCTCTCATGGGTCACCCAAATAGGGTAGGCTTTCTGTTGCTTTGAAATCATAAAGAGGATCTCATTTTTTGATGATATTGTTATGACTAATCATACCATTACTGAAATTCATTCCTTGCTTGGTAGTTTGTTAAGGTCTTTCATATGTTATCTCGTGGGTCCTCAAGTAACATTTTGAGGTGAATTATTATTTTTTTGTACTTTAACAAATAAAGGCAAACTGAATCAAAGAAGTTAAGAGATTTACCCATGGTTTTAATAGCTAGAGACAGAAGAGATTCAATCTCATGAACTTTAACAAGAGGTCCCTGCTCACTACACTAAACCAAAGTATCCCTTTAAAATTCAGAACATCACTGGTTTTTTATTGTTATTTGTGATGATTGATTTTAGGCAGTAATTTGACTGAATTAAGAGATCCCTAGCTAGATTACAAAGCATTATTTCTGGATTTGTTTGTGGGATGTTTCCAGTGGATCAAGTATGGAAGTTGATCGATTAAAGAAGATTCTCTCTCATCCACAGTAGGTGAGCACCAACCAATTGCCTAAGGGCCCAGATAGAGGAAGAAAGTGGAGGAAAGGTGATTTCTCCACCCCTCTTGATCCCTCTTCTTCTGGAGCTGAGATAGTACTCATCTTCTTCTACCCTTGGACTTCAGACCTTTCAGGTTCTCTGGCCTTAGAATTCTAGGGCTTGGCTGGCTCTGCACCCTCCTAGTCGTTGGCCTTTGGATTCAGACTGAGATTTACTTCAGTATCCCTGGTCCTCAGGTCTTTGGTCTTGGACTGAGTCATACCAGTGGCTTCCCTGGTTCTCCAATTTGTAGTTCATCAACTGTGGGATACACATACACATATACACAAACACACACACACACACACACACACACACGCGCACACACACGCACACACACACATATACATACATGTACTACTGGTTCTGTTTTCCAGACTAATACTGTTTGGTTTGTTTTTCTCATCCTCATTTTCTTGAATTGTAATAAAATTCCAAGTCATCATTAGATGGAATGATTACTAGATCCTAAGGGAGGATGGGGATAAAATCTGTAATTCAACGCCATTAGGAGTGTCCTATTTCTCACTGACCACTTAAGTCCACCCCAACTATTCAGGTCCAAAATAAAAATAAGTCTGTGGGAAAAGGAATGAATCAGGATTTTTTGTTTCAACAGTGGAAGTCATTTTATCAGACATCTGTGCCCCCAAAACAATGCCTGTAATCTGTAGGTTGGGGTTGAGAACTGGACAGAGACTTAAATGAATGAATTCTCTCAAAAGTATCCTTTCTTTCTTTGTGAAATGTCCTTCAGTAAACATCTAAGTAAATATTAGTGCATTGAACCCATGAGTTTTCGTTAGGCATTTTGAGACTGTGTGGGATTTTGCTGAGTTTCAGGGTTCAGGAGGCTTCTCTGTTGGCCAACATTGTGAACACCTCCTCTTTGGAACAAGGTAGAAGACACCTATAGTGTCCTCAGCCATTTTAATTGAAAGTCATAACAATTTTCCTTTGATTAATATCACATTTAAAAATATCTTGGTGAGGAATTTTTCTTACCTTCCAATTCTTTGCTTCTGAGGTGAGGAACTTGAAAATGGTTTTCTTACAGTAGAAACTCACTTAGCATTAAACATACACAGGAAAGCAAATTTACTACGTTTCTTTAGAAATAAACATAGAAGCAAATGAAATGTGCTAATGTGCTCCCAATTAGCACATTCATTAAGGACTATTTTGAATGCAGTAATGAACTTTTTGCTTCTGATTGAAGATGGAACTCACAATGATAAATTAGTGAGTATATCTGCTGAAAGTTTCCAAATTATAGGGCTGAATGAATACTACTAATAAAATCATTCACCACCCACATGAAAATGATAAATATGAATCTAAAAAAACCTGAAAAAATATTCTTCACATAAATGTAGGCTCTTCTTTGAGGAAATGCCAGGTAAAAATTAATCTTGAACGTGAGTGTGACTTCTGGTTGATGTGTCTAACCAGGAGTTGAAATTTGAGGCATTACTTTTCCTGGGTGCAGACAAAGGTGACTCCCATTAAACACAGACTGAAAGGAGAGAATCTAATTTAGAGTTTGTCAGGTGCTGCTTAACACTGCAGGAATCACAAAGTTTAGGTCTGTTAACCAGCAAGGGAGGGAGCTGACTAGGAGAAACAACTTCTATGCATATCATAGTAGAAGTGAAACCCTAGGGACTGCTTCTACGAAGTTCAACTCTGATACAGGTGGTAGAGAATGCAGCATGAAAATAAAAGTAGGTGATGATGATGATGATGGTTATTAGGAATAGTTTTATTTGTTGAGCTCTTAATCAATGTTTTATATATATATTGCTTTATATATGTTATGTATAATATATATACATATTATATATATTATGTACTTTTACAACCACGTGCAATTATTACTATTCTTTTTCTTCTCTCTATATATTGCTTTATATATATATGTTTTATATATATAATATATATACATAATATATGTTATATATATTATGTACTTTTACAACCATGTGCAATTATTACTATTCTTCAGAGGAGGAAACAGAAAACACAGATGTTGTTCTTATGGGGTTTGTTTATATTTTCACAGTCATTGAGGCTCTCTCTATCCTTCCCATAAGATCCCTTTGGCTTGGAAGGCCGTCAATCTGTGTGTATTTTTATTGGCTAATTAAGAAGAGATACCTGCCATGACTATCTAATACCCAACTTTAACAGTGCAGCAACTTTACTTTGGTTTATTTTTTTAAAAATCATTTTATAGTTGTGTTTTTATTTCTCCTATCTCAGAGTTCTTCAAAGCTAGAGAATGCTTTCTGTTTCTTTTGAATCCTCCCCAGACTTTCTAGTATAGTGCTCTACATAGAATAGAAATCCAATAAATTTTGTTGTTCAGGGACATGAGAATCTATCATGTTTTTAAATACTTCTGAAAAAATGAGATTTCTCTGCCTCCCTTGGTAACACATCCTCAGGTTTATCAACATTACCTGTCAGGAAATTGCCCTTGCTTCTTATCTGAATAGTTGGTGCCATTTACTCTCTTCACTGAGTCTTTCAAATGTTCTTTGTGATAGCCCTTCATACACAAGGAAGTTTTATGTCCTCCTTCAGCGGTTCCTCAAGACAACATAATGGGCCTTCCAGCTATCATTATAGATTAATTTTTTTTTAGAAAATGAATGTTTTCCATTTAATTGTGTTCAAAAGAATTAACATCAGAGGAAACATAAGCAATGAAACAAAATCAAAACTAAATTATTATTCTACTTCTTTTGTATTGCTCAAAGAAGAGACATGACATATGTATATTCTCAAAAATGGTTGTAGTGATTGTTTCTGAAGGTAGTGACTTGATTGAAAGCTCTGGGAGCTTGGATTTTTTTGGAAGTACACTCATTGCTATTTCTCTCTTTCTTTTTCTTTAAAAATTATATTTTAGTTTTGTTCAAATAACTTTTGATTAAAGGAATAGGGAAGGGAATATAAATCTGAAAGATACCAGACTACTTCAAGCCAAAAAGGTTGAGCTTTTAGTTTCAGTCTAGGTATGTTTTTCCCTGTGAATACAGAAGTTATGTTTATAAAACTAGGTTTTCTCATGGTAGTACACAGAAGTATCCGTGCTTATAATAGATATATTTCAGCATTTTCCCTGAGCAGACCCAGCCCTTAATCCCTGTTTTAAAGTGTCCTTTTAGTGTCACATTGCAAAATTAATCTTTCCATTTGCACCAGTCCACACCATTTAATACTGCTTGACTCCACATAAAGCACCGTGACATGAGCTTTAAATAAAAGCTGGATAGGGCTAAGTTGTGTGCATATTGTGTTTGGGATTAAGAAACTAAATTCGACAGGTAATGGAGTTGGATTTGACTGTTCCATGATGTTAAACTGTGAGGTGTCATGTCAATCATGCGTCCCGGAAATAGAAGCTGTAAAAGGAAAGTGAGATGTATTTCAGATGCCTAATCTCACAAGCAAAAGGTTAGCTCCTCGAGGCAGGGTAGTGTGCAGACTGCTACTCTTCATCTCTCTGTAGGGGACTCTAGGAGTTGTACAAATAGGCTTATTTGCTTGAGGATTAGCTAGGTTTCCTAGGAGATGTGATAAAGAAACCTCTGCAACAAATGGCCAGTTCCTCATGTTAAATAAAAGGAAAACAAAACTTGAAAGCAGTGAGAGAATGAATGTGGAGGCAGCTAGAGAGAGTTTCCTGAATATTTTGTAGATAAAGCATGTCATTTACAGAGTGTTTCCTGCATATTTCAAAGATAAAAACGTCAGCTATACAAGAGAAGTAGGTCTTACAATATTTCTTGCTAAAGGAGTTACCAATAATATGAAACACTCACTCTTATCCTTGATGACCAGGAAGTTTTCAACTCAATTTTACATTCAAACACAATAACTCTATTAGTCTAATTCTTTGATTAATTTTATTCTGTCTTACTACTGAATTTAATGTTTTCCCATCTATTTTAACTGTCTTAGCTTTTAATCATAATTCTTCCTTTGAAGAAGGTAAAATGTAATTAATATATGACAAATAAGATGTCCCATACAAATAAAGATTATCTGTCTATCCATCTAGTCTGAAGGATGACACTGAGAGTGCTTGGAACTGAATTGCTGAAGTGTGTGATTATGCATTTAGTCCAGAGCCTCAACTTGATGTGCAGTGCTTTTACTGTGCAATCCCCATTAGTGCTGATTGTCCAATTTAGTGTTTCATTAATGAGCCATAGACCACTTGTAAATTTCTGACTTACAGAATCAACCACATTTAAAGTTTTATTCTCCTGGAAATGTCTTCACCTGACAAGCTGATAATAAATTGCATTCTTTCATCCTATTAACCCTTCTGCCATATCAATTTGGGCTATGGACAGTTGGAATT